CTGGTGAGAGAGGTGTTGAGCGCGGCGCTGTGAGCTTACCTCATGCCATTTCCGTGCGAGGCGCGCTCCGTGTCTTTTATGAGATCAAATGAACGTCTTTACACACTCATCGGGGGGAATCGCTCACTGCAGAGCGCCGCCCTCTCGCGGCTCTCGAGAGCGAGTTTTCGCCAGACAGCCACACGTCCATTATGGCGCGCGTTCTCGCCGGACGGACGCTCGCCGGCAGGCCGCGAGGGCATCTGCCGGCGCTCGTCTGCCAAAGTGGCGCCAGAGTGGAGAACTGGAGGCTGCATATTCAACTGGCCGAGGCGGTCTACCGTCCGGCGGCGGCGGTCTACCGTTCGGCGGCTGAAAAGGGGTAGACCAGTCTACCGCGGTCTACCAAGTCTACCGGTAGACTGGGGTCGTAGGTTCATTACGGTCTACCGGTAGACTCGTGGTAGACTCGTCTACCAAACGGTCTACCGTCTACCCCAGTCTACCCCAGTCTACCGGTAGACGGTAGACGGGCCACCCCTCAGTGACGGCGGAGGGGGGTCGAGGTGGTTCGGAATACCGTCGTTGTCGGGGTCGTTGGTGTTGGACTCCTTGGCATCGGGGATGCCCTCCTGCGCGTCGGGAATGCCGTCGCTGTCGCTGTCCGACGTGCCCTCCTGTGCGTCCGGAATGCCATCGCTGTCGCAGTCGGACAGGCGACGCGCCCGCGGAGGGCCGAGGGCGGCCTCCACCGCAGGGGCGTCCACGGCGGAGGCCTCGGCGCCAACGGCGGAGGCCTCGAAGCCCGCCGCAGGAGCGACGGGCTGATGGGAGGCCTCCGGGGGCGGGGTGTAGAAGCGGGAGAACGCAAAGTGGGTCGAGTGGGCCGAGGACACCTCATATGCCTTTGCCTCGCCATCGATGGCGCCCTCGGCCATCGCTGACGTGCGAAAGCGGCCCGAGGCGGGATAGTGGTCTTTCTGGCCAATGCGCGGCAGGCCCGGGGTGGCAAAGGACTGACCAACCAGTCCGTGTGGCAGGCTCGCCGCCACCGGCCCCTTGGCCCGCAGGGAGATGTCGATCCGGGCTGGGGAGCTCTCCGATCTCCATCTCTCCAGTACTCTCCAATCTCCAGCGTCGCTACATCTTAGGCCGGATCCAGTCAGATCTCCGATCTCCATCTTCAATCTCCAATCTCCATCGTCATCTTAGGCCGGATTCAGTCAGATCTCCGATCTCCATCTCCAATCTCCAATCCCCAATCTCGATTCGGGGGCCCGGGGGAGGAGGGGGGCTCAAACCTTCAAGGAGATGCGCTATGGATTCATTCACAATGCAAAAGGATCTCCACCCTCTTTTCGCGCCATTTTGCAATCTCCAGTCGGCCCACACGATCTCTAGGCGCCTTTGGCGCGAAGTCAGAATCTCCACCTCTGTCGCAAGATCTCAAGCGACTGCACGCACCAACTCGAGATCTCAGACTCCTCTCGAGCATCTACACCGGAGAAGATTTGCCTCCACCAGTTCTTCAATCTACTGCTGCTCTTGGCAGGAGATTTGCCACTTAAGAGATCTCAAAAAGGCATCTACGATCTACAGTCCAAGGATCTTCCGATGTTGCGTAGAGATGTCCATGTATGAAGGCGCTGGCCGCCGCCTGCGCGCTGCGGCAACGGGCAAGGAGTGTTTTTTTGAGTTGGAGGGAATAATTAAATGGCAGTGTGGGCTGTGGGGCGGAGCACGGAATTGATTCATGATTGTTGTGAAATTAATTCTAACTCTAATGTTTTTGTTTTAATAGTCCAACCAGGAGAGCTCGACTCTGTAATATGCTCATCACAGACGCGGCACGCGCGCGCTACGATGCCGCGCGCATGCGGCGGGACGGGGGGGCACACTCGAGGGATCTCATCACGGGGTAAAGAGACGGGCGGGGCACCTCTCGGGCTCGCCTCTCTCACTCACACGCCTCGCCGCTAGGCCAGTTTGCGAGCCACGCAGCGAGCGGGGGTCGAGGACCAGGGGGTAAGGATTGGGGGAGGGGGGGGGGGGGGGGGGGGTCTCCCTCCCTCGCCCCGCTCAATAACCTCAATCGCCCCGCCCTGAAACGCGGATGCTCGGGGGCGCCCCCCTGGGGGGGGGGCCCCCCTGGGGGGGGGGCCTGCTCAGGCGGCCTTGGGGCGCAAGTCTGCGAACGCCATCGTCAGCTTCTTGCGGGGCAACGGCGAAACCATGTTGAGCGACAAATACATGTCCCGCCCCTGGATTAACTAATTAATTGATTGGGTGACTAAATAACCAAGTTGAGCGGCGAGTCCATGTCCTGCTCTGGGAGGGGGAACAGAAACTTCCCGTTGACGGCGTGCCCCTTGAAAGCCATG